ATCTCGATCTAATCATTGTCCCATCACTCAGTAGATGACTGACCTTGGGCTAGATAAATAGACTGAATCTCAGTTTCTTCTACATGTCAAATCACGGCTTCCTTTATGGGGTTGCTGTGAAACTTTAAATATTACATGAAAAGGATTTACCCAATCCTTGGCCTGTGACAAAGACTCAGTATATGGCTGCTATTTGTGGGCTAGTTATTAGAGGCGTCATAGTGCATGCTGACACCAGAGCTCATTGTTGCAGGATATTTACTAGACCAAATTTATATTCAGTGTATGAGGGATCAGTTGGCAAATTCTATTCATAAATTTATCATTATACAGAAAAGAAATAAACATTTGATAAATTACCATAAGATAACAAATTGTGTTATTTTTATTTACATACTAGAGAAATAAGAGTAATGTGATTTCAGTCATTTAGCCATATTCTGAAGAGTGCTGAAATTTTAGGAATGGCCCTTCTAACAATACAGGTTACAGAGAATTGTGACACCTTCTGTGTTATCATTAGAATATGTTAGAATAATCCCAGGGGCTTAACATAAGGCCTATAGCTTCTTCACATTGCATATCTGTTAGTTTTTGGTTGGGAATTGGGGAGGAAAGCCTTTGCTAAGAGTGGTCACTCAGGGATCTGGGCTGAGAGCGTAGCAAACCAATATTTTAAATATCATGGTGCTACAGGGAGAAAAAAGAACTCTTGAGGATGTTGCTCTAGATGCAGTTACATGCTCAAAGAGGTGACATTCATCACCTTCACTCACAATTCACTGGTCCCACCCCACCACAAGAGTATCAAATGTGCAATTCTACTTTGTAACAGGAAGGCAGAGACTTGGACAATTTTGGTGAATAGTTTTAATGACTATGCCAATTAGGAAGCAGAATTCTAGGAGTTGCAGAGCTCAAATTTAGCAATATAGACTCTTCCCTTTTCATCTTCCTGAAAAATACAAGAATTCCAAAATACAATGGGTAAATATCCAAAGGACATCTGATACCCAAAGAAATGGTTGCATATATACAGGTATATCCTACATACAGTAGTAATGCAGACTACTAAAATATATAGCTAAAAAAAAATCCATTCATATCATGGACCAAAAAAATCTAAATTTTACCCTAGGAGTATCATAGCATTAGGAGTGAATAACCTACATTTTTCGGTGATATAAATAACTACAAAAGTGTAGATAAAAAAATCATTGGTTGGAGTACATTATTTATGTCCAAGAAAAACTATAATGACTCTATATAACCTATAAGACAGATAATCAACTTCAACTATAATAGTTAAGTTCAAATTATCAGCTTTATCAGCAAATCTATAAATTATGTACCTTGCGAGAAGACAAACATGACCTTAAAGCTGTGTTCAATGAAACTGATTACTATTGGGTTAGACATGTCAACCTCTGGCAGTAAGTATAATTTCCAGGTAAATGAAAGTAAAAGATTAACAAAAGAATTAGAAGTAACAGGAAACAGTGGGTGTAACCAAAGTTATATTACTATACTAATAGAGATAAAACCAGTAAAACTCTGATGCTTCAAGTTGAGAAAACTTAGTCAGCAGTTCTCTCTCTTTTCTCTCTCTGGGCTACATATTAGATGCACCTGAGAAACTTAAAAATGCTGAGGCCTGGCCCTATTCTAAGAGATTTTGAAGTAACTGATCCAGTAGAGTGAAGCCCAGGCATTGCTATGTTTTTGTTGTTACTGTTTTGTAAAGCTCTCTAATGCACATCCAGGCTTAAGGAATGCTAAATTAAGTCATGAAGTAGTCTAGCAAGGTAAAAAATAAACTTGCAAGTCATGAGTTCTGCAGACATATACCTACTAAATACAAAAGAAACATTTGTGCCGATGGGGAAAGAATTGTATTCCATGCATTTACACTTAAAAAAATAGCCATCTAGCACATGTTCATGTCTATTTTCTCTAATTAACAGAATAATATATATTTTAAATACAACTTTTATGAGAATCCAGGATTCTTTAAAAAGAGGGGGGAACTTCAGCTTTCTTTACAGCTACTGATTTTATAGTAAATGAAAAAATGTATGAGTAAACCAATGTAAATTACAAATATGCAATCTAAATAATGCCTTCGACTTTTTTCTAAAGTATATATGCCAGTGTATCTATGAGTAGTTTTACTTATTGGAGAAAACCCCATCATCTATATGAACAGAGTTCTGTTGTGCTTTCAACAATAAAATAAGTCAGTGGTCTTATAAACATATCAGCCAGGGGGAACTGACTACTCGGAAAAAAAAACCCAAAAAATAAAAAAAACAACAAAAAAAAAACCCTAGATAGGCATGAACTAAAGGAGAACAGTTAAAATTTTGAACAGAGTTCTGTTGTGCTTTCAACAATAAAATAAGTCAGTGGTCTTATAAACATATCAGCCAGGGGGAACTGACTACTCGGAAAAAAAAACCCAAAAAATAAAAAAAACAACAAAAAAAAACCCTAGATAGGCATGAACTAAAGGAGAACAGTTAAAATTTTTATAACCTATAACTAAAAAATATTTTGTTTTCTTATAAGTGCATAGAATATCTTTCTAGTAGAGCTTATTTATCTCCCGCCTTAACAAACACTGCAAAACATATAGAGAGCATATTCAGTGAAAACTCTGAAATATTATTTAGTAACTTGTTAAACCAAGCTTATACAAATTAGGAGAAAATGATGTTGAAATAACGTATGAAGTAAGATTTAGTCAGTTTAAGCCAGTAAGTGACATAAGATTATCATTCTTTGCCTAATTTTAAAAAATCAGACAATTTGTGCACTCTGCATTCCTTCTCTACTTCTAGAAAAAAAACTTTAAGAAAGTCTACATTGTCTATTATATATTATTTTTTGTGTAAGTGACTTTTTATGAAGGCAGGGGTGTGAATTTAATATCTGGACCAATGTGGTACAGTGTAGAGACAGCATTTGAGGATGTAGGAACTCCAGTGCAGAGAGGATCATAGAAAACTAAATTTCTGGAAATCTAGGTAATAAAACTATAGGTTAGAATCAATATTATTTCCATCTGCAAGCACCAGGAAATCTCAGGTACCCTATACAATACATAGTTTGGAATTATTCATTTTCAATTCAATTTCTCATATGTATCATTTTTGATCATTTTTCTACCATGGTTGTCAAGCTCCTTGCTTTCTGTTTCTTAAGTAGATTGGGGCAAGGAGGATTCAATCATCTGTTAGTCTCCCTTCCCTGGCATGTCCTTAGAGAGCCCAGAGTGGGGAATCAGAGCACAGCAGGATAGTCTTATGTGTGCCAGCTAAACTGAGGTAAAAGGAAACTAAAGTTTCAGCGTTGAATTATGAGACCCCCAGAGAAAGGCACCTCTGTTAGACCAGCGTCAAAAGAATAAGCAAAGAAAAACACACAGACAAGAAGGAAAGCATAAGGGACAAGAACAGAGCCTGTATGTAAGTACCCTGAATGACAGTAGAAGAGAGAGCCTGTCCCAGAGCCTGTGGGTACCCACTGAGTTATCCACCCAGAGCACCTGGCTAGTTGGGAGAGTCGGGGAAGGAAGAGGAGAAACACACATACTTTTATTTTTTTCTGATTTCATCCTTTCATTAGGGGCCTGCTTAATTAAAGCAGTCCTGAATTCCTGGTCTTTGTAAGAATTTTTAAGTTTGTTTTAATGCTTTCAGAAGGTTAAAAACTTATGGCCTCTGATTCTTGAGTTTGGCTTTGTTTTGCATCAGATTTATTCCTTATCCCAGGCACTAACAGTATGCTGATACCAGACTACTCCAGCTAATCCTGACAGAACTCAAATCTGCAAGTAATACTAGTTCAGACAATTTTAAAATACACTGATTTTTTACTTATATTTAAATATAATTTCTCAAGAATGCCTCGCTCTTTACTACATTGTCAAATATCTCAGATTCTAAGGTCTGCTTCATGAGAAGATAGAAGGTTTCCCCATCCTTTAGAAAAGGGGAGAGGGGAATAGAAGAGAGAACATTCCTTTCTGTCTTTTGTGGTTGCCAGAAGTGTCTAGGAACACATCCAAAATGCCACAGCAGAGAAGGTGATTCACAGTCAAACGACTGGTTTGCAACTACCATGAAGTGAATACAAGTGATGTTATTCCAAACGTAAATATTTTTACTAAAACAGCCTTCTCTTCTAGCTGCTTTCAAGCTGAATGGGATAAAGATTGTTTATGCCAAAGATAGAGTAAAAAACCCATGTTAAAGTATCTTGAATTTCTATAGATTTACTTATACTGTAGATTAAATGGCACACCTTAAATGTCCATACTTACATGCATATTTGAATATATACATCTCACTGTAAAGTAGAAACCATCCAGATTGAGTAAAATGAATCCACATTACTGACATTTACTTTTCAATCAGATTTCTAATGAAAGCATGCTTTGCTATTAGACTATAGACACAGATAACTGAATTAATGCTGATGATTAAACCAGACTCATGGAAATGGGTCCAGTTTGCCTATTTTCATCAACTGAGAGTCCAGTCCATTCATTAATTGTATTGTGTGATTTACAAGTTTGAAAAGAGTCAAAAAGATACTGAAGGAGTTAGTATAATAAAATATTCTGTTTGAAATTTGAAAATCTGGTTGAATTCTATCATTAATTTTCCCTGTGAGCTGGTGCTACAACTTAGAATCTTCTCAAGAGAATTAAAAAATTACCAAATGATAATCTTAAAGTTATTTCAAAAGGTAATTATGTGAAGTCCTCAGTTGATTTATACTATATTACCATTAGAAAAATAAAAATTTAAAATACCCTAAGGCTATTTTTATATCCATACTTCTTTTGAAAAACTGCTTTAAAAATACAAATATTTATGTTTAAACAAAGAGAATATACTATTTTGTTTATATAAATATTCTAGGATTTGAGACAAAAATGGCCACAATTAAAAACAAATACAAGAAGAATAAATGTTTGAAGTTACTGTACCTACCTTTAATGTGATACTATAATATTCAACAAATGTTGCATTTATCCATGATCTTGAATGGGGATCACCCAGGAATTCTATGTGATACTGTTCAACATTTCCATCCAGGTCATAGGTCACATATTTCCCTTTAAAAGGATCAGGGCAAAGTATCCCTGGCCAACTTTCAAAAGAAAACATTTTTAATTATTTTGATGCTTCAAAAAAGGCAGACCTCAACACATCTGTCACAATCATGTATATACCAAACTTTCTTCTTTGAATTTTAATAGCTTATTCATAAAACTTAAACATGTTCATACTTGTATCTTTTAAAAGTAAGATATTCATTTGATACAAGTCACCAGTTGTACCTTTGCAGATATAGAAAGCTTTGAAATAGTCACATACTTAAGATACATGTAAGATATAAGGAGAAAGAATTAAAAGACAAAAGAGTGATCTCCATGGTCTATAAGAGACATTTAGGTACAGCTAATAAGAACAATAAGAGAACAATGATTCATCAGATTCATGGCAGGGTTGAATCAACTTTAACCAACCAGAATGATTAATTACTAAAATGTTAAACCATTGACAGAGCCGGTATTTCTTGAGTCAGGGCTGCCAAAGGAGTGTTGGTAGTTCAGGCAGAGATAACACTAGAGATTATAATGACTGTGGTTAAAGCAGAACTAGAGCTCGGCAGTCCTATAGAGTCCCTTTTTCCCCCTATCAGCTCCCTTGGCAGGTGACCAAACTGCTAAAAATTCTCAGTGCTGGAAATAACATTTATCCTTTACTAAAAATAAATCTTTAGGGGTGTGTTTTTTATGACATAAGCCTCTAGAAATTCCTTGATATGCTTTATTTTTCCATTTGGAAATTAAGTTTTAATTATTTTACCAATCTTTCTAGACTCTGTCCTACTCATTAGAGAATAAAGCAGGAAGGGAAGGCAGTAAATATGGTCAGGAAGTTGTTACTAAGTAATGTGTAATAGAAACCTGACTAAATTTTATAGATCGTGACCCAAAATATGCATATCTAATATACCCAAACATTCAAAAATCTCTTAAACTGTCAAGTTCAACTTTAGTTTGTAGCAATACAGAGTAAAAAGACAGTGAGGTCCAAATCAGGAGACCCAGGCTCTAATTCTGCCTTCTACTAGACAAGAGACCTCAAACAAGTAACTAGGCCACACTGTAGATGTAGTTCCTCGCTGGGCTATGACAAAGTTCACACAAACACTTGTTTCACACATTTTTTGCTTTTGACAAAGTAAAATACTGCAAAGTGTTAGCATTATGGCCTGAATTGTGTTACACCCCCACCCTCATCATTATTTATATGATAAAGTCCTAACCCCCAGTACTTCAGAATGTGTTTGGAGATAGGGTCTTTAGGGAAGTAACTAAAAGGTGGATCCTAATCCAATCCAATATGACCAATCTCCTTACACAAAGAGAAGATTAGGCATGCACAAAGGAAAGACCATGTGAAGACACAGAGAGACTATATACAAGGCAAAGACAGAGACTCAGAAGAAATCGACCTTGCGGAAACCTTGACCTTAGATTCTTAGCCCTCAGAATTGTGAGAAAACAGATTTTTGTTATTTTTAAGCCACCCAGTTTATGATACTTTGGCAATCTTAGCAAACAATGCATATACAGGCAAGATAATTGGTACAACTGAAAAGTAGAAAGAATGATATTAAAAACAGTATTTTTGCAATGTTTAGATAATTATTTCAAAACTAGATAAATGAGATAACTTTAAACCTAAAGGAAGCATACAAATCCTGCTGTAAAAAATCTGAAATGACAAAAGGACAAAATCTATAAATTGTTTGGATTTGAAATCTATAGATTGTTGATATTCTACAAAATTATCAACTGATATTAAATTTATGAAGTCATAAATATAGAAATGTATCTAAGGTAGCCAACTATAAAAAAAGTTTTTACAGATCATAAATTAATAACACAGTGTAAACTAATGAAAATAGTTCATGGTTAGATTATTAATGTAAAAAATCTGATCCCAGGTAGTTGACATCTCAAGTTGATGTCCTGAGAGCTGTCAGGAGATGGTGATTTAGATGCACCAGTCACCAGGGATGGTGGAGAGTGAGAATGGAACAGCTGTCTGGATCCTCCCTGGATGCTGAGCAGAGTCCAGTGGCTCTTGGTCCTCTCTGAGTTAAGGGAAAGGGAGGTGGAAAGCTACCTGGCAACCCTAGATCATGGAAGAGGAAGAGATAGAGGATTAAAAATTCAGTCAGACTGTCTGGAACCCAAAGAAGCCTAATACTTTGGAAGAATTGGAAATGATAATGAAAAGCCAAGTAGAGAGTCTGGACCTAAATGAAGAAGACTATCTGGTTATTATCATGTTCATGTCACAATTTGGCAACCCTTACAGGGCTGAGCTTAAGAGTAAAACTCAAATGGACTTTATCTTTTAAATCTAAGTTGGATATCTACATTTCTGAAGGAAACCACTCAAAAGAAGACTTCAATAGGCAGATAACAACTAAGAACAGTGGCAACTGCAATGAAGACCACCCCCCAACGTAACAAAAATCAAGAAACGAGTCCTTCAAACTGATTAATAGCTATTTTTAAAAAAAGATTATTACATTATATTTGTTTAAACATTTTGTAAAATATAAGGGGCTCATGTTAATACTACTGATTTGCACCTCACAATAATTTTAAAAAGATTATTACCAGGTAATATCAAACTATAAGTATCACCTACTCCATTAGTGTCAAACAGTCTCGGGATTTCTAACACTTAGGACATGAAAGAAAGAAATATTTTGCAGTTATTATGTGTAAAATGAGTTGCTTTATTTCTCATGCAAATTCTAACTACTTTTACATCAAACTTATTGGGTCCAAGAGTATTCAGTTTAAATCACTCTATAAAATATAAATAAAAATAGTGATGACTCCCCAAAAGACTTAGATGACAATAAAAGAACGAAGCTTCTGTTCATTATTTAAAACATGTTATATTATAGAAAATGTTGCATGTTGACTTAAAGATGAATTATGAAAAGTATTGTCAAATGTTTAAATAACTGGTGCACTTTTGTATTTCTTCAGGTGGTGCAAAGAAATTGTGACTCTTAGTCTGTATATCTTGGCCAAATGGAATGTACCTAACTGTAGGAAAAGCGGAGCAGAGGCAATAGATGTAGAAAACATGATTACTTCCCTCCAGCTGCTACATCTATCATCTTCTCTGACTTGCTGTGATCGAAAAAAGCTGATGTCCAATTTTGCCCTCACTCTGACCTCAATTTGAGTTCCAAAACTGTCAATGATGATAGCACATTGTGCACTTACTTCTACTTCCCAATTTTTCACTTTCATATTGATGAGAAATTCTGAAGCATTGTCTGGGGCTTAAAGGTAGAGAGGGAGGGTATGAGTAGGCAACCCAAAGGAAGGGTATCAGGATTAAAAAGGTAGTGTATCATCAATTTTGGAATCTGTGGGTGGTGGGAGGTTAAATGTACAAAGACGACAAAATCAAATAAATACCAGATACTAGAATCCCATTGTGGGGGAAGGGAACATTTGGGCATGACAAGTAGCAACTTGAAAGGAAGTACAAATATACCATGAAGAAACTGATGTCTTACACATTTATTAACCAGTGGAAATTATCTTTAACATGATAGTTGTTGCCATCAATAGAAGGTGAAGCTTAAGCATGTAATTATTTATACCCAATGAGAAGTACATGATTGTTACTTTCACACTGTGGTTTGGATGTTTAAGAGGAGAGCAAATTTTACTTTGTCCTCATTCCTAATCTGAGGGAAACACAATGGATGAGTTAAAATCATCACTAAATGTTGTATTTGTCAAAAAAATCTCTGGGCTGTGCAGAAGCTGTTGGGAAGGGGAAATTTTCCATACACACATACTACATTATAAGTATATTAATCCATAGGCAAAACAACGCAAATAAAAAGTGACTATGTAATATGTTATGATACTGAAAAGATCTAGTAGAAATCTCAATTTATAAATTTATATACTATTATCACTGGATTAGTTTGTTAACTTAATAATATTTTATTATTAAACTGTTTTCCTGCAGTACATTACAATGTAAATATATTTTCTATGAATTAATTTTCATATTCATGAGAGCTGTATGTCTGTATAAATATGCCCAAGGTAGTTACCCTAAATAGAGCCTAGTTTCTACTTGAAAATATATCTTCCTATACTAAATGATATATGCACTATTATTTTTTACTTTTAATTTCTATGCTCTTTCTAGCTGAATACAACGTTATCTGCAATTTAAAAAAATCAAGGAGGCTTAAACATTGTGGAGATAGCTTTTCTCTTCCTAGTACCTGCAGTTATCCCTACCCCCAAGCACAGAGAGACAATCCGAAGGCAAGAGGCTGCACATGTATTTTTACAAGAATATAAGTGTGTGCTATCTCACAATATGGATGTAAATGTAACTACTATAATTTGATATTCTATAGAACTTGCCGATAGACAAAGTGCTATTCTCTTAACTATTACTTGTCTTAATTTTATAAAAACAGACATTTCTAGATTCTGTACATTATATAAAGATGAAATAGGCATTTCTAGATTCTGCATCAGTCTCTCTTTAGGTTTATTAGAGAGGGTCAACACATCTGAGAAAGAATAACTCTGAGATGTTGATAAGATTGAGTTTCTGAGCCTTCAAAGCTAGGTGTAAGGGCATGGCCTAAGGATAATTGACCCAGATAATGCTACACTGCTATGTGTCTCTGCAGCCAGTTAGCTGGTCTTTCCACATAAAACTTCAACATCTATACATTGCTTAATTAAGAAATGATGCTTGACTGTTTTAGTAGGTTAATTCTAGCTTTATATTTTACTATTGCAATTTATCTTGTTATCATGTTTCCAATAAGGAAGAAGGTAGTTACAGCTATATTTTCCAGGCATTTTAATGATACCAATCATAGATCAGAGATAATTTAGGGACTGGAGTTTCATTTGTATTTCAAATCCTAACCCTCAGTTACAAGCACAAAACTGCAAAGGAAATTCCTAATCAAATTTCTAACATAATATATCAGATATAGTGACAAGAAACATATACATTTCATGAATTAGGTTATTGAACCTTCAGAATTTCCATTAGAAAATACAAACTTTCTACTTTCAAAATGTTAATTTTAGATATGAAAAATGACAAGGGACTACAAATACCTTCATAAGTAACCTGATCAAATCAGTGTTCATAGTCATGCCTTTTACAGTATTTGCTCTTGTCTATGGCCATGCTACCCTGAACAAGCCTGATCCCATCTGATCCCGGAAGCTAAGCAGGGTCGGGCCTGGTTAGTACTTGGATGGGAGACCATTTAGGAAGACCAGGTGCTGTAGGCATAAAAATAAAAAAATAAGAGATTATAAACTGACAAGGTCCTTGCAATCTGTGAGGTCAATCGAGGGTTGCCTCATCTAAACATAAATTAATTAATTAAAATATATATTTTTATCTAACTATTTAGTTCTTCTTCATGCCCATTCTAATTACTACATAGAAGTCAAATACAAAATACATAATAATATATACACATATACATCTGATCCCTAGAAAAGCCCTCAGTAAAAGGTACAAATCTCAGAGTGATTTCCACATTTGCAAAGACATTAAATGTATTAGTTTGCTAGGACGGCTATTGGAAAATACCACAAACTGGGTGGCTTAAACACCAGAAATTAATTTTCTCACAGTTTTGCAGGCCGGAAGTCCAAGATCAATGTGTTCGCAGGGTTGGTTTCTCTTGAGGCCTCTCCGTTTGCAGATGGCTGCCTTCTTGCTCTGTCTTCAAATGGTCTTTGCTCTGTGCATCCCTAGTAACTCTTTGTGTGTTCAAATTTCCCCTTTTTATAAGAACACCAGTGAGATTGCATTAGGGCCTACCCTAATGACCTGTTTTAACATAAATGCCTTTTCGAAGACCCTAACTCCAAATACAATTACGTTCTGAGGTTAGAGCTTTAACATGTGCTTTTTGGGGAACATAATTCAACTCCTGAGAGTAAGTGATAAGGCAAGAACACAAATCTAAGTATATTGACTTGGAGGCCTCGTGTGTGTGTGTGTGCACGCGTGTGTGTGTTAAAATAAGCCCATCACAGTCTCTCTGTGAAAGCAAACATCTTATATTCTTCATAGAGAATAGTTCAATATGAATGAAAACAAGGTGACATGAGCCCAGTATTCCAGCTTTGAGAATGTTATGTGGGAGAATGTAATGTAAAATAGCAAGAGATTCTGGGAAGACAGCAGAAATGGTATAGTTTTAGAATCTCCTGATTTCCCCATAAGTATAGGTAGAGCAACCTAAATAGTAAAGGCAAAACCTGACATACAACATCTATAACAAAACTAAGTGCTAAGCGATGCACATGAACACCAAAACTGGAGCAGGCAGATACAAACTACTGACAGTTATAAGACTCACACATTATCAGCATCTGTGGTGTGAGAAAACAAGGCAGGAGGGGGAAAGCAACCAGAAGTCTGATGGGTTTGTTAAATAACTTAAAAACCACAAGGAGTATGCTTTGGAAAGTCAAACTGAGGGGGCTGCAACAAAATTGAAAGCGTTGGAATAGTCAGGGCCCTATGAACACTTAAAACCAACCAACAAAGCTCTTTTGCAGAGCAAAAGCTCACACTGAAACTGCTGGAAGTATAATCCAAACTGAAGAGGTCAGGATCAATAAGAATAAAGGAAAGAGATGGTACAAATAAAAGTGGGGCTATAATACCAAAGGTACCCTCCATGAAAGAAAAAATTGATAAGTTCGACTTCATTAAAATTAAAAATGTCTGCTTTGTGAAAGGCACTATCAAGAGCATGAGAAGACAAGCCACAGAGTGGTAGAAAATACTTGCAAAAGACATAGCTGATAAAGGACATATCCAAAATATGCAAAGAACCCTAAAACTATAAAATAAGAAAATGAACAACTTGATTTTAAAAAGTGGGCAAAAGATGTGAACAAACATCTCACCAAAAAAAAGATAAAGAGATGGCAAATAAGCATATGAAAAGATGCTTCACATCATATATTATCAGGGAAATGCAAATTAAAGCAACAATAAGATACAACTACACACGCAACAGAATGCCCCAAATCCAGAACACTAACAACGCCCACTGCCAGTGAGGATGCAGAACAGCAGGAACTCTCACTCTTTACTGGTCGGAGTACAAAATGGTACAGCCACTTTGGAAGTCAGTTTGGCAGTTTCTCACAAAACTAAACATACTCTTACCATTTGACCCAGCAATCACACACCTTGGTATTTACTCAAGAAGTTGAAAACTTATGTCCACACAAAAACTTGCACATGGATGTTTGCTGCTTTATTCATAACTGTCAAAACTTGGAAGCAACAAGATATCCTTAAGTAGGTAAATGGATATATAAACTGTGGTACGCCCAAACAACAGAATATTATTCAGTGATTAAAAGAAATGAGCTATTTAGGTTCAATTCCAAGAAAACACAGAAAAAACTTAAATGCATATTACTAAGTGAAAGAAGTCAATCTGAAAAGGCTACATACTATATGATTTCAACAATATGGCATTCTCAAAAAGGTAAAACTATGAAGAGAGTGAAAAAATCCATGGTTGCCAGGGGGTAGTGGGAAGGAGGGATGAAGAAGTAAACACAGTAGGTTTTTAGGCCAGTGAAACTATTCAGTATGACACGATAATGGTGAATATATTATCTATACATATATGTGATCATACATATGTCATTATACATTTGTCGAAACCCACATACAATACAAAGAATGAACCCTAATATAAACTGGACTTGGCTGACAATGATGTGTGAATTCTGGTTCATAGGTTATAAGAAATGTACCACCCTTATATGGGATGTTGATGGTAGGTGAGGTTATGTGGGGAAGCGGTAGAGATATTTGGAAAAGCTAAATATAAATAATCTATTCTGCAAATTCCAGTTCTGGATAAGCTGAACTAGACCATTTTTATATGCCTTTCACTATATACACCTAAAAATCCTAAGTATTATATGTCAAATAAACATAAGCAAGCAGATTCTAAAAGGTAAAGAGAAGAAGCTAAACCAGATAGGGCCCTTGGGACCTAAAGAATGAATGGCATAGTAGTGAGTTCCCTGAGCTTTCTTTATGACTCATATCACCTAGACTAGGTGCTGAAAACCTGCAACCCAGAAACACCAATGGCTGCAAACAAAAATGGCCCATATGAAGCCTGTTCTTTCTAATCAAAGGACCAAGAGAGTAGCAGCTTAGCAAAACCTAAGAGAGGCAGCTTAGCAAAACAGAAAATGGTTAAGCAATAACTGCTTTTTCCCAACCAAATACCAAAGAATAAATATGCACCCCCTCCCCCCCTCATCTGTACCCCCACCAGCAATGGCCAAGAGGTAAGCCTGGACTTCAACACAACCAGCATAAGGAAGGGCCCTGTCCCTCCCTGCTCAGGAGGTAGCAGAAGAGGATAACCGGGAGGCTGGGATTTTTAAACACCTTCTAGCATTAACAAGGCCTCCGCCCATGGTATCAGTGGAAGTCACCTGGGCTTCCAGTCAGGGGGTTGAGTGAGGAGCCTGAACTCTTATCTCTGCCTAGCAGGAGCAAGGCACTCCTCCCTCCCCAACATGTCAGTAGGGGCTGATTTGTGAACTGGGACTTCTACTCCTACCTGGCAGGAACAAAGACGCACCTTCATATCCCTCCAATGCAGTAGCAGAAGGAGCTTGCTAAAACAGATTTAAATAAGATCCAAAGAGAAAAAAAAGAAATAGAAAGTATAGCGAATAAATAGAAGATATAAAGAAAACCAAATGGAATTTTAGAACTGAAAATACAATAACCAAAATAAAAAGTTCATTAGATAGTCTCAACATCAGAATATGACAAAGAATCAGTAAACTTAAAGATGGAATAATAGAAATGATCCAATTTGAACAACAGAAAGAAAACAGACTTGAAAAAAAAAAACCGATTCTGACTTTCTTTTCTCTCCTCAAAGAACAGGAACTCATTTCATAGAAAAGATCATAGTAGATTCTACTATAAAGTTATTATGGTAAAAATAGCTATCATCCCTATAAAAAATGAAAGCATGTGAGAGACGCATACCCTTAAAGAGATCAAAATTGTACTTGAGACTTCGAGCTGAGTTAACAGAAATTAAAAAAATAATGTAGGTCGTGAAAAAAATATAAATTAGAATTTAAAAAACTAAAAGAAATAAGTCATTAGAGAAAAGGAATATTTGAAGAGAGAGGTGAGAAAACTCATAAACGAATTAATAAATTTTTCAAAAAAGGCTAACACAAAAGACAATAAGCTCAATTGGGAATACCTTCAGAAAAATAAAAGGTGGAAAGGGAAAAATATTTAAATTTAAAAAAATGAAAAGATGAAAAGAATTGCTTATAATTTTAAAGAACTTAACTGAAATACTGAAGACTCAAAACTGTATATTGAAAGTACACATTACATACTTGGGAAAATCAACCCAGAATGGGAAACACTGAGCTAGACAACAGGTAATATACGAAAAAAAAAAAAAAAAAATTAGGCTTCTAGGCAACAATTACAGAATACACATTCTATTCAAGATAGGCCATTCAATGAAACTGACTGTAATAGATTTAAATTAGAAATCAATAACAATGACATTTTAAAATCCCCAAATATTTGGTAATTTAGAAATATACTTTTAACAACTCGTTTCAAAGAAGAAATCACAAAGAAAATTACTACATATTTCAAACTAAATGGTAATAAAACACAACATATTAAAATTTATGAGAAGGAGCTAAAGCAGTGCTTAAATAGAAATTTATAGCTTTAATTGCCTACCTATATCAGAAAGAAAAAAGACTTGAATTGGTTACCTTAATTTCCAATTTAAAAAACTAGAAGAAGGAGAATTAAACCCAAAAAAGTCAGGGAAAGAATAATGATGAAATCAGAAAACAATAAATAAAGTATTAGACAAACAATAGAGAAAAAGTTGATTCTTTGCAAAGTTTTGGAAATTCATAAACTTAGCAAGACTATTTAATAGTTTATTATAAAACAACAACAAAAACTTACCTTGGCCAATTCTGTAATTTTACCAAAACAAGGCTTCCAACAGGTAGCTGTGAATAGACAATCTTAAAACCGCTTTGATGAAGCTGAGACTCCTCAGGAAAGTCTTCTTCAGAAATAGAGCACTTATTATATCTTGAATCAGTGTTCATGAAGCAATACCATGGTTCATTGTGATCAACTTTGACTGCATCTCCACTTGTCAACAATCTCCATTTCAAACAACTTTCATTCTCACATTGAACCCACACTTTGTTTACAAACATGTTCTTTTCCACTGAGGAAGCCACTGCAGTGTTACAACATTCTACTGTTATCTTACCATCCAATTTTTCTTTTTCCATAAATGCATTTAATCTGGAAAATAAATAAGAGAATATTAAAAAATAAGGATTCAAAAATATAGAAAGTTCAAACCAAAATCAAGAGAAACAGCTCTTTGATACCCTCTTTGCCCACCTCCTCTCTATCCTATAAAGACTATACATGTTGAACATATTATATTTCCACCTACCCAGAAACAAAGGAAGAAAATAGAAGTATCAATCACTCTGGGCACAAAATACTCCAAATTTAAAAATAAGGAAAGTATGATAGAGTAGAAGAGGAGTAGAGGTTAACTATAGTATCTATTATATCTGGTAGCTATCCAATACTTTTGCCATAATAACAGCTAAATCTTCTTGAATGCTGACTATGATCCAGGTATTATTCTAAGTGCTTATGCACACGCTTTATATAGTCTTCCCAACAACCTTAATTTGACCACTTTTAAAGAGAAAACTGAAGTGAGGAAAAGTAATTTGTTGAAGGTTCTAAAGTTAGTATATGATAGAGTGCAATTTAAATGTAGGTAGTTTGGTTCCAAAATCTGTGATCTTACCTACTAGTTGGTACTGCCTCTGGGTATATATATTCATATTTATAGTATGACTTGATCCTATTCTTTTTCTAATTATGAGGAAACTAAAATACAGCAAAATATTTCAGCATATGAAAATTTAAAATTTGTTTGAAAAAATTAAAGAAACCATTTGTTTATATAATTTTGCCTTTTATCCATTAATTCAAGTAATTTGAAAAAACATTTCTCAGAGCATTTTTATTATGAAAAATTTAAAACATAAAACATTAGCATTGTATGATTGAGCCCTCAATTTTAGCTTTAACAATAGTTATGTGTATACTAAAAAATAATTAATATAACCAAAATACAAGTAAAACTAATTACTAGCAGCTTATTTATAATGTAAAACCTATTTTTAATAAAAAGACTTAGATATACTATATTGAGGTAGGAGAACACTACTATCCAAATATAAGCACCATTTAAAGAAGCTCTTAACCTGTGAGTTAATTATATATTCAGAAATTCACTAATTTATTGTATACCTTCCAGGATAACTAGAAATTGCTTTAGGAAAAAAATGCCTATATTTCAATAGCCATAGTTCACAATCTTTGACCTATTAATCTCACTTATGTGAATGTATCAAAAGGAAATAAACTTTAAAAAGACTAATCTACACATACAAAGGTCAACAATATTCACTGTGCTCTGTTTATCATACTATAAGTGTAGAAAAATCTACAAACAGAAAGAACTAAATCTAGCATATTTGTTCTTTTTTTGTTTAGTCACATTTAGTGTAACTTCCTCCTGTGTGTGTGTGCATGTATGTGTGTAGAACAGCTTCATTTCTTTTTATTTCTTTATTTCTAATCCTTATATCTTTGTTACTGTGCAGCTATGACAGGTATGGTATTGAACAGAAACCATGAATTAAATATCTTTTTATAATTTTAAAGAGAATGCTTCTACTATTTGATTATAAAGTCAAATACATATGTATGTCTTTTGCAGAAACCATTAAAAGTTTACAAAAAGTTGTTTTCCTTCAATTACAAGTTTACTAAGAGAATTTTATTGTTAATCATGAAGTGGTGTTGAAATTTATCAACTGCTTTTCTGTATATACTAAGGTGAACATAAGATTTTTTGTTTTAAATCTGCGAATTGGGTAGATTTTAATAATGTATTTATTAATAATTATCCATACTTGCATTCTTGGTAAATCCTACATGGTCGTGTATCAGATTTTTTTTCTTTAACATATATTGCTGTATTGTTTATTATTTAAGATTTGTTTATATGTATGTTTATGGATGAAATTCATCTATTATTTTCATTTCTCCTTTTGCCTTTGTATGCTTTTGATATCAAGATTAAAATAGCCTCATAAAAAGAAGTATGGAATATCCTCCTTTTTAAGAAAATTTGCTTGAATTTTCAATTTTGTCATATATTTAAGAATTCTAGCATATCTACTCATATCTCTCATGTTTCTATTTTTCACTATGAATTTGTTTATACCTTCTCCTCTTTTTCTTCATTTATTTTGCCAGAGCTTTTTAACAACCAGAATTTGAGTCTCTTCACTTATATTTTGGAAATCCATTGAATTAATAGCTAAGCTGTATTCTCCCTTCTACTTTTTTGGAATATTCTTTGTTGATCTTATCTTTCTCTTCTTGCTTAATTTATTTTCAGCCTTTTTTACTAATTTTACTTTACTATGGCAAAAACATTTAACATGAGATATTTCCTCTTAACGAATTTTAAGTGCATAACACACTATTGTTGACTATAGTACAATGTTGTATAGAAGGTCTCTATAACTTATTCATCTTGCTTACTCAAAACTTTATGCCTGTTAATTAGTAACTCCCAATTTCATCCTTCCTCTTGCCCCTGCAAACCACTATTCCACTCTGATTCTATAAATCTGATGATTTTAGATGCACACATCAATGGAATCATAAAGTATTTGTCTTTCTGTGCCTGGCTTATTTCACTTAGCAAATGTCCTCCAAGTCTATCCATGTTGTTGCATATTGCAATATTTCCTTCTTGCTTAAGGCTGAATAATGTTCTATTGTATGTTTTCTTTATCCATTCATCCATTGACATACACTTAGGTTGTTTCCATATCTTGGCTATGTGAATAGTGCTGCTTTGAACATAAGAGTGCTGACATGTCTTTGAGATCCTGATTTAAATTATCTTGGATATATAACCAGAAGTGGGATTTCTAAATTTTTTTAGAAATCTCCATATTGGTTTTCATAGCAGCTGCATCATTTTGCATTCCCACCAAGAGTGTACAAGGTTCCATTTCTCCACATTCTCAATATTATTTACTATCTTTTAACTTTTTTAAATAGTCATCCTAACAGGTATAAAGTGATATCTAATTGTGGTTTTGATGTGCATTTCTTTAATGAATAGTTGAGGATCTTTTCACATATCTGATGGCCATATATGTCTTTTTTGGGAAAAAATGTCTGTTCAGGTCTTCTGCCCATTTTTCAACTACATTTTGAATATCAACTCCTTATCGGATATATAGTCTACAAATATTTTCTCCCATTCCATCGGCTGCTTTTTCATTTTTTTTATTTTTATTTTGGTTGTTTCCTTTGCTATAGAGAAATGGTTTGGTTTAATGTAGTCTTACTAATCTATTTCTGGTTTTGCTGCCTATGCTAATGATGTCAGATCCAAAATTCATTGGCAAGATCAATCTCAAGGAACTTTTCCCATAAGTTTTCTTCTAGTAGTTTACAGTTTCGGGTCTTCCATTTAAGTCTTCAATCCATTTCAAGTTTATTTTTGCATATAGTGTAAGATAAGGGTCCAATTCATTCTTTATCATGTGGATATCCAGTTTTCCAATCCCATTTATTGAAGAGACTATCCTTTCCCATGGTGTATTTTCTTGGTGCCTTTGGAGAAAATTAGTCGACCATATGTATATGGGTTTATTTTTGGGGTCTCTATTCTGTTCCACTGATCTGTGTCTATCTTTATGCCAACACCATACTGTTTTGATTAACATGGTTTTGTAATATAGTTTGAAATCAGGATGTATGATCCCTCTGTCTTTGTTCTTCTTGCTCAAGTTTGCATTTAGAGACTTTTATGGTTCCATACAAATTTTAGGATTGTTTTTCACTATTTCTGTAAAAAATGGCATTGGAATTTGGATAGAGGTTGCATTAAATTGGTAGATTGCTTTGGCCAGTATGGATAAATTAACAATATTAATTATTCCAATCCATAAACATGGAATATCTTTCCATTTACTTGTGTCTTCAATTTCTTTCATCAATGTTTTATACTTTTCAGTATACAGATCTTTCACCTCCTTGGTTAAGTTTATTCCTAAACATTTTATTCTTTTTGATGTAATTGTAAATGGAATCATTTTCTTAATTTCTTTTTTGGATAGTTCCTTGTTAGTGTATAGAAATGCAACTGATTTTGTTTGTTGATTTTGTAGCCAGCAACTTTACTGAGTTCATTATTAGTTTTAACAATTTTTTGATGGAGTCTTCAGCATTTTCTATATATGACATCATACATTCTGCAAAGAGACAATTTTACTTCTTCATATTTGATGTGGATGACTTTTACTCCTTTTTCTTGACAAATTGCTTTGGCTAGGACTTCTAGTGCTATGCTGAATAAAAGTGGTGAGAGCAAGCACCCTTGTCTTGTTCCTGATCTTAGATAAAAAGCTTTCAGTTTTTCAATAGTGATTATGTTAGCTGTGGGCCTGTTGTACATAGCCTCTATGTTATTAAAGAATACTGCTACTACATTTAATTTGTTGAATGTTTTTAATCATTAAAATGTTGAGTTTTGTCACATACTTTCTCTGTACCTATGAGATGATCACATAATCTGTTATACTTCATTGTGGTGTATTATGTTGATTTGAATATGCTGAACCATTCACGAATCACAGGAATAAATCCCACTTGATGATGGTGTATGATCTTTTTAATGTGCTGTTGAATTATGTTTGCTAGTATTGTGTTAAGGATTTTTGCATATATGTTCATCAGAGATAATGGCTTATTATTTTCTTGTAACATCCTCATCTGGCATAAGGGTAAGGCTACCCTCATAAAATTAGTTTGTAAATGTTCTCTACCCTTCACATTTTGGGAACAATTTGAAAAAGACTGCCACTAAAACTTCTTTAAATGCTTGATAGATTTCACCAGTAAAGCCCTCTGGCCCTGGACATTTCTTTGTTGGGAAAATTTTTTTATCCCTGAGTCAATCACTTTACTTGTTCTTGGTCTGTTCAAATTTTTTATTTCTTCGTGATTCAGACTTGGTAGAATGTATGTTTCTAGGCATTTTCCATTCTTTTAAGTTATCCAATTTTTTGGCATATATTGTTCATAGTAATCTCTTATGATCCTTTGTATCTCTGTGGCATCAGTCATAATATCTCCTGTTTCATTTCTGATTTTATATATTTGAGTATATTTTTTCTTTTTTT